ATCTTTTGCGAGACGACTTTGTGTTAGAAAAATGCAAATTTAACATTACAAAAAATTTTAATTACTTCAGCTGTGAATGAAAATTAAAATATCAATATAGACGGATCGTTGGAGAAGCAGTCGATAGCGCATTGGTAAAACGGCCCGTTGTATTCGTTAGGTCGGGGTTCAATCTCAGACGAGGTAACCTAACATTTTTTTTTTATTTAATGCCGCAATTTAATTTTATATATGGACTCATCTTTTTAAACCATTCTGTAACAAAAAAATACAAAATTTCAAATAGGTTTCCATATACAGGGCATCTAAAAAATTGCATTAAAACTCGAACAGTCCAGAGGCTCATATACCTATTTCAGTTTATTGATTGCAATATTTTTATGAAAAATCTGATTTCTTAGTAATCATATGCTTTCTACAAAGGTATGTACCGAATGTTTCATAAAAATGACACAGGTGAACTTTGATTTTACTTAACTTTTCAATTTTCCAAATTTTTTATTGAAATATTTACATGAAAAGTTATGTAGTTACTAACCAAAGGGTTTTTTTGAAAATCCATATACTGCATGTTCTACATAACTGACCCAAGTTAAAATTATCGGTGTAGAGGTTTCTGTATATTTCAGAAATTTATTGTGGCAATATTTTTATGAAAAATTTTATATTGTAGAACTCATTTTGCAAATTTATATACTGTGTGTTTCAAAAATGACACAGACGGACTAGGATTTTTTTCTCATTTCACTACCTACCTAAATTTTCAAATAGATATTTCTACACACGGTGTCAAATGTTTTTTTGCAATTTATGTACAGGATGTTTCATAAAACTGACACAGGTGGACCAGATTTTCTCTTATTCATTTTGTTAATTTTTTCATTAAATCTTTTGAAGAAAAGTTGTATATTTATTGAGCAGCCGCTTTTTAGAAAATCCATATATGTACTGGGTGATCTACAAAATTGACCCACATCCGAAACGGGCAATTTTTTTCCCTTTTCACTTTTAACTTTGTTTTTATACTAAAATCTTTTAATGAAAAATTGTATATTTAATAACCGGATGTCTTTTTGAATCTTTATATTGAATGTTCCACAATACTGATGCAGATTAAAATTATGAGTAGAAGGAAACTTTCCTTATTGTTTTTTCCATTTTCATATTTTGTACTGAAATCTGGAATATTTTTATGAAAAATCTTATACCCTACCAATCAGGTGTTTTTTGCAACTTATGTACAGGATGATTCGTAAAACTTACACAGGTGGATTAGATTTTTCATTTTTCATTTTTTAAATTTTTTCTTTAAATCTTTTGAAGAAAAGTCGCTTTTTTTAAAATCCATATACTAGATGTTCTAAAGAATTAAGGGCAGTTTTGTTTCTTTTCACTTTTAGCTTTGTCTTTATTTACTACAGTCTTTTAATGAAAATTTGTATATTTATTAAGCAGATGTTTTAACTTATTATTTTACCATTTCTGCCTCACCTACGTAGTCTTTGGATGAAAAATTTTATATTTACTAACTAGATGCCCTTTTTTGAAGTTTGGAAGAAACTTTTCTTATTCTTTTCTCCAGCGGGGCCTACTCTTTTTTGAAAAACATTCTCATCAAACTTTTATATACAGGGTGTGTAAAAAACCAAAGTAGAGAGTGTTTCAAAAAATGTTATATCTACTAACCAGCGAGGAGAGCACCGCGGAGCGGTGCACAGGCCGTGCGCAGCGCGGCCCGAGGGCCGAAGGCCCGAGAGAAAGGTCAAACTTCGCGTCAGCGAAGTTTGCCTACCTTTCTAGTAATATATAACGCATGAAAAGTACAGACTACTTTTCTTTTTTGTGTGGCTGTGTAATATTTGGCTTAACCTTTTGAATTTAAAAAAAAAATCAAAGTAACCATTATAATTATAGGTAAAAAGTTTTTACTCAATTTGAAGAGATTATTTTACCGATATCGGTGCCATTTTACAGTCGCCATTTTTAAAAATTAAAGAGAGTATACCGATGGGTTACACAAGGAATATTTTTAGTGAGACTATGGAAGCGATGAAATAGCGTTTTCAGCAGATTTTGAGCTTAAACGTGTTAATTCGTTGGTATAGGCGCCATTTTGAATGCGCCATTTTGAAAACTTGTCAGGTGCACATAACATTAGATAGTGCACTTGTTTACGAACGTTTCTAGTTAGATAGCATGAGCTTAACTGCAATTAAATGGCGTTATTAGCAGATCTTGACCTAAAATCGAACTATTGCACTGATATAAGCGCCATTTTGGGGTCGCCATTTTAAAAATTGTGCAAGGAGCACGTAACATTTGGTAGAGCACTTCTGTATCAACGTTTTGTGTAGAATAACACTAGCTCATACACCGTTAAATGTGGATTGCAATAGGTTTAAGCCAAAAATTTTGGTATTTCGATGATATCGGCGCCAGTTTGAAGTCGCCATTTTGAACATTCGGAGGACACGCATAGAATTTGGTAACTCTCTACCAGACAAACATTTTTTGTTGCATAGCTAAATTTTCGTCATCATCGCTCCTTTTTCAGTAGCACTTCTTTCAGGAGGTCGCCAAAATTCATGGATAGTAGCCGCCATATTGCAACCGCCATCTTGAAAATTAAAAAGCGCCACACGGCTTTCGAAAGCGCTCATCTCAACAAATTTTTTAAGCCGTGGTGCAATTTTCTTGACCGATTCAATTTTTGTACTTTTGTAGCGGGTGGCACGGTTGACACGGATCGTTCCATATATATATTGTGACGTACCTTCGGTCGTAAACCGGTTAGGTGGTTAAACTAAAAACAAAAAAACTTAATCGCCTCAAAGTGACTGTCACATGCACGGCAGCTCATTTATTGTGGAAACAAAGGCATGGGTAAGTGTAAAAAAAATAATAATTATAGCTTTAAGATGTAACGATGCAAAACTACTAGTGGGCGCCAGTCAACAGGGGTTGACGAGGAGGGGGAAAAATAAGACTTAAAATGGCCAAAATGTTAGTAAATGTATGTATAATTAATATTAATATTATTAAAGTGTATAAATTCTACCATTAGTGTATAAACGACAATTGGACGTATCATGTTACCAACAGATATGAATTCCAAACAGGTAAGTAGGAACTAGTGCGAAATTAATGCAAAAACGCAAAAATAATACATAATAATAGTGTAGATACCCTACATTAATGAATGATTGTTCAAAGATACAACGTAAGATTTAATATTAGAATTGTTAGTATTAAAAAAATTTAACTTAGCTGAATCGTTAAAAGTGAAATTTTACAAAAATTCAGCAAATAGAGCAGGTAGGTGAATTATTAATATACTGTATATTATAAATAAAGCTAATGTTAATTTCTATATTACTTAAATTTTAGGGTTTAGTTCCAATTGGATATGGTTAAATAATCATAACCGTTACCTCTCGAACAGCTGTTCCGGGCTTACATATAAATATCTTAATTTTTATTCAGGTT